TTTCTTTCTTTCTTTCTTTCTTTCTTTTCCTTATCGTGCGAACGCTTGATGCCTTGCTGCTGATGAACTACGTCGAGCGAATCATCGTGACAATGATAATGACTTCAACTTGAGCTACGACACACGTCGTAGTTGACAAACATATTTCATTCGTGCACTTCGACATACGCTAAAACGACTTTATTCGTTTAGCGTATCAAGGATTGTTTCTTTGGATACTTTTTTTTTTCTTTTTTTACGAATATCATATTTCTTTGAATTATAATCGATATCAACTCGCCATTTTAGTTTTGGAAGAGAAATACGAGACGAGTAACATCGTACGATGTTTTAATTCTCTGCTATTTTATTAATTGAAGGTGAATCTTCATTTCAAGCAGATACTTTTATCGGCATGTTTCCCCGAAGTTTGCACGATGAAAAATCGCGAAACATACAAGACACCCTGTGGAAACGTATAAGGCGTGCACACGGATGCACAACACGGCTGACGGCACGATGGATCACAACTACAAGCACCATATGCGACCAATGAGTCGTATCCTGCTAAACTGTTAAGAAGGAAGTGGTTCGTTGTTGCTATTCTCTCTCTTTCTCTCTTCCTTTCCATCTCACTTCTCCCTTCACGAATCTTTTTCCCTCCCATTCATTTGCTTTCAGTCTCTCTCTGCCCGGTTTACCGTCGATCTTTCTGCTGCTTGCACAGTTCGCTTTTGTTTTTACACTTCCAACGAACAGCTTCCCGATTTTCTCGTTGAATTGAAAAAAAACTTGACGAAAACTTGCTAAACAAAATATCGTGAAACTGCGAGAACGAATCTCTAACGCCGTTAGGGATTCTAATTTTCTTTTTTTTTTTTTTTTACGTAATTACAGTCGAACTTTTTTAACTTGCGGTTCGTTTATACTAACGCCACGCAATTTATCTATATATTTCGCTTTGTTAGCGCATCGTTTACTAACGACGAACGATACATGATAAAATGGTAAATGATCTAGTAAATATTGCAATATAAATAAATATAAATGAAACTTACGGGTATCTTGCTGCTTTTGAGAAAGTCCAACAACGCCTCGAGGGCACCCAGTGTTGACGCCTGTACGTAAACACCACGTTCGGCGAGTCGAATATTACCGAGAGCACTAGACAACTCTTTCGCAATTTCTTCTTTCAAAACATCCACCTCATCCGATTTCTGAGCCACTTGGAGATTCAATCCTGTTTGCAAAATACAAAATCGTGGTTTATTTCTTTCGTAATATTAATGTCAGCGGTGTAGCAATGTTGTGACGCATATGCACAAATTTAGTAAATCACTTACCTGCAATCGCTTTTTCCAAATCCTTCGCAGCAATTTTTACTCCTTGCGCGGCTTTTACCTCACGATGTTCAATATACGCATTCTGCAATTCATCAAATAAAGAAAATATTGTTATCACATTCTCACGCAACAACTAGGACAACTTTGTCAGTGCAGTTAATTACAAATGAGACAGTGTATATTTACTTTAACTCTTAATTCTTTCAACGGTTGTGGCATAAGAAGCGAACGTATTTGAGTTACTATAGGACCATCGGTACCCGCTACTATCATTGTTTCACCTTCTTTCAACATTCCATTGACTAGAATACAATCTATTGTAGTCCCAAGACCTGGTAATGCTTTCACTTCTAAAACAGTAGCTTGAAGCTCTTCGCTATACATGAGTCTCTTGGCTAATGGACCTTGACAGGCATCTACTATTAATGATAGTAGATTACCCATACCTTCGCCTGTACAAAAAGCGATAATTTGTAGCATTTCAAAACAGTTTTGGATATATTTTTAAAAAAATGCAATATCGATTTACCTGTGATAGCACTAGTAGGTACAAGGGAAACATAACTTCTAGGGTCTGGATTTTCGTAAAATAATGCAGCATTCAGGCCTTGTTCCGCAAATTGCACAATAACATCCTTTGAACGTTTTTCAAATTCACGCTGTGTATTAATAGCTTGGCTTTTTACAATATCCTGAACATCTTTTCGATTCATAGTTTGCCAATCGTATAATCTATAGAAATTTGTTATTATTTTGCTAATATTTAATTTACATATTATCATAGCGACTGATTTTATCGTACCTGTCGATTTTATTTAAAGCTACAATGAAAGGACATTTCTTCGATTTCAGCAAATTAATGCTTTCGATGGTTTGTGGCTCTAAACCGTGCATAATGTCTACGACTAAAATAGCTATGTCACATAGAGAAGATCCTCGATTTCTTAAATTACTAAAAGATTCGTGGCCAGGAGTGTCTATTATCAAAAGTCCAGGTATTTTGAATTTGTTTTCATCAAACTGGGAAAAAAAAGATTTATTATTTTTTTGTCAATCTGTTGATATAATATTTACATAGAAGATAACTTACTCCTTTAACGTGCTTCGTTGATTCTCGAATAGCATCGATAGGTACATTTGTGGCGCCAATTTGTTGAGTTATACCGCCTGCTTCACCATCTTGTACATTCGTTCTTCTCAACTTATCAAGAATTTTTGTTTTTCCGGTATCAACATGACCTAAAACGCACACTACAGCAGCTCTGAGATTATCTAACGACTTCTTCTTTTCCGCTTCTATCCTTCGAAGTTGTATTCGTTCTCTAACTCGTTCCTTTTTTCTCGCTGCATCTGATACTTTATCTTCTAAACCACTATCATCACTTTCCTCTGTTTCTGATTCACTACCACTCTCGCTTTCTGACTCACTTTCTGAAGATTCTTTCCCCGTTTCTTCAATTTGCGATTGCTTGCCTTTCTCAAGTGAAAGTATTGTTTCCTTAATTTTTTTAGTTTTTGGCACATCATCTAATTTATCTATGAAATTATCTTCTATTAAAACAATTTCATTAAATATGCTTGCAAATATATATAGAAACATATATAGAAACTTATAAACTAAATTAATTTTTAATACCTTCGTGTTCATCTTCACTAGTTTCAGCATCCCATGAATCTTTGACATCATCTTTGTTTTCTTCAAATTCCTTTGGTTGTTGATCTACGATTTCTAATTCAACTGTATTTGTCTCTGGCATATTCTCTTCCGTTTTTTCATCATCTTTTTCATCGACACTCACTTGCTGTTTTACTTTATTCGGCCGT